TTATCTAATATAAATTTAGACAGTCTCTTAATAATCTGAAAAATTGCAAATAGTTTTGGGAACTGCTTCTTCCCATCTTCCACATTATGTAAATCTAGGCCACATACCTCTGCCTCACAAACTTTCATCTAACAAAACACGTACGGGCGCTGACTACTGCACACCCTGTCATTGATGACTTTGTTATTGAATTTAGATGTGTGACCGAGACGTAGGACTAAGTCTCCTGATACCTGCTACCCCAGGTCACCCTGCAGTCAATAGATATTTAAAACTTAGTTGACTGTTGTGGGTCGCGTCTTAGTTGAGAACCTGTAAGACTAGGGAAAATAATCGATGTTGCTTGGCTTTCTTGTGCTATCCCGGAATATTAACCGTATCCTGGTGGCAAAAAGCTCTCGCTTCACACGGTGAGGCTTCGGGTTCGATTCCCGGCGAAGGGTTGGAAACATTGGACGTGTTTTCTTACACCGGTTGTCTATGATCCCCATCTGTAAAAGGGTACCTGGGTGTTAGTGGACTGGTGTGGGTCGCAGTCTGGGACAAAACTGCCCTAATTTGCCCGAAATGCTCTGCATAACAAGCGGCTTTTTGTATAGTAGTATGTTACTGATGTCAGCTAGGTCTGTATACCTTGTACATGTACTTATAGTAAATATAGATATTATTATTATTATTATTCCAGAGGTAGACGTTAACAATTCGAATAAACTGTTTCTTGGCTCTTCTATTAGCTGCGTTCCTCGGAGAGCAGGTGGAGTGTGCCATATTGTAAATTCCCTGCAGAGGAGTCACCAGAGGGCGGGAGTGGAGGGGCGCTGAGACAGGCGTCACCACTACCATCAACACGGCCACTAGAAGTGACAGTGGTACTCCAGCCAGAGAAGTTGCCACTTGTACTCAACACCTCGCCCGCCATGAGGGCTAATAAAACTGTACCGATACCAGGCAGGGTAAGTTTTACCTCTCCTCTCTCCCTCTGGTCTTGTCTTACCCGCCCTACGACTTTTATCCTTCCTTACTATTTGACTTGCACTCCTACCTCACTTATGCACTCTCTGTATATTTACCCCAACTGATTGTCATTTCCTTTACCTGTCTCCTTCCACCGGCTTCAGGTTTGCCCCTTCTCCTCTACAGGGGTTACACAGCAGCTCGTCATACGAGAGTGTACAACTGCCGGGAAGCATCTTAGACGAGACGCGACCCCTAGCCATCTGCGACGCTCTACAGGCTACCTATGAAACCTACAGCGACAACTATACGCTACACAAGGACTCTGATGTCCGCAAGGTCAGTATTCATGGTGTTGCTAATCTTGCCTTTTGGGAGGATAGTATGCATAAGACTGGTGCTAGATCCTGTCGTTTAATCTGAGGTTATCCGCTAAGGAAAGAACTTTGTATCTAGCCACTGCTGTTTCTTCCCTCACGGGACCTGTGCTCCACTTCCTTAGATCGAACCTGAATTCCTCCCTTTTTCCCAAGAGCTGCATGACCCCTACGGGTTTAGTGCCCCGAATGAATGTAGTATTGCTGCTTCTACTGACTACACCAGGGGATTCCAACATTTTCCAGGCCATTTCCTACTTTTACTAGAAAGTCAATGATGATTTCTGACGGCTCACTAAAAGCTGAATCATACAGGGACTTTAGTATCTCGCTCATTTGTTTGCTGTCATCTGTGTAAGTCCCATCTCGTCTAAGCAGGAGTCCAATACTGGATGTTGTTTTTGCTCTACAAGGAGATCTGGACAGGCTGCAAGCCTGATCTGACAAATGGCTCAAGTTTATCCCCAGCAAGTACAAAGTTATGAAGCTTGGGGAAGGACAAAGAAGATCGCAAACGGAGTACAGCCTAAGAGGTCAAAGGCTGCAAAATTCACTCATGGAAAAGGATCTTGGGGTGAGAATCATACCGAGCACATCTGAGGCGCGCATCAACCAAGTAGCTGTTGCAGTATATGGGCGCCTGGCAAACCTGCGAATAACGTTTCCGCATCTAAGTAAGGAGTCATTCATGACACTACACCGTGTACGTCAGGCCCATATTGGAGTATGCAGCACCAATATGGAACCCACACCTGTCAAACACGTCAATAAATGGAGAAAGTGCAAAAGTTTATAACAAGACTAGTTCCGGAGCTAAGGGGCATGTCTTATGGGGAGAGGGAACTCAACCTGATGACATAGAGGATAGGAAGGATAGGGGAAACATGATGACAAATAAAATACTGAGAGAAATTGACAAATGGGATAGGGCTAGAATGTTTTAAAGATAGGACATTGTTATGCATCAAGGGGACACAACTGGAAGTTGAAAACTCAGATGAGTCATTGGGATGTTAGAAAGTATTTCTTTAGCCTTAGAGTTACGAGGAAGTGGAACAATCTGGAGAGTGAAGTAGTGGAAACAGGGTCCAAGACTGTTCAATTGCCTCCCAGCATACACAAGGGGGATCACCAATAGACCCCTGGTTGTCTTCAAGAAGGCACTGGACAGGCACCTAAAGCCAGTACCTGACCAACGGGGCTGTGGTTCGTACGTCAGCTTGCGTGCGGCCAGCAGTAAAAGCCTGGTTGATCAGACCCTGATCCACCATGAAACCTAGTCTCAGACCGGGCCGCGGGGGCGTTGACCCCCGGAACCTTCTCCAGGTAAACTCCAGGTAAACTTTAAGAGGTATGATAAGGCTCTTAGAGTGGGGAGAGAGTGTTCTAGTAGCGACTAGCGAAGAGGTTGGGCCAAGAGCTATGTCTCAACTCCTGCAGCACTCTTAACCGAACACCACCCTCATTTCAGCACATCCACACCCACACACCACCTTCACATTCTAAGCTTCTCTCCAACACTAACGTTGCTCACCTTTACCATCTGCTCTTAACGATCCAGAAGACTACTTTGGCCACTTTGTCTTCATCTGTTTATATTTCTCCATCCCTGGAATATCCAAGTTTCCCCCCAGGAAGGGATTCATGGGACTGGGAACCCCTGGTCTAGATAATGTTACTTTCCGCTCATTCTAGCTACACTGCAGCATAACAGAAAGCGGATAAAAGAAAATAACATGCCTAAACAAAGTGCATGAAGATGTTATTGTAAAGAAGATAGAGAATCAAGAGTCTTGCAGAGAAAGACACGAAGAAACAGAAAGGTGAAGTTGAAGCATTAAAGCAGAAGATACTTTCCCTTTTGCTGTGTTGGACACTATGTTGGACACTATGTTGGACACTATGTTGGACACTATGTTGAACACTATGTTGGACACCATGTTGGACACTATGTTGGGCACTGTTGGACACTATGTTGGACGAGGCTCTTGAAAAAGGATAAGTGAAGAAAGGTCATTAACTCAATAAATCAATTGTTCAATTACGGAGCGAGAGAGAGAGAAATAAAGGGAGTCGATGGGCGAGAACCATTATGACGATGTCTACTCTATCTTCACTTTCAGCCTTCCTCTTCTTTCTACCTCTATTAAACGACCTTTACCCCTCATATTTCGCTCGTATTATTTATAACTCCTTCTCAAACATAAATAGCTTATAATATAATATGCGTATTTTACGGTGTGGGTCGGTAAGACAACGGAAAGACTCAGTCACATGACTAGAAAACTTTCCTGAGCGGATCATAATATGATTAAAACCCTGCGCGTCAGAACAATATTTACTTTAATAAATAAAATATCCCAGCTCTTTCCCTTTACAGCTTCCTCCTCATCCCACTTCTTCATTATGTTTAAATATTAGCTTACTCTTTCCCTTTTCCTCTTCCTTCATCTCTCTCTCTCTCCCTCTCTCTTCCTTCTCCATTTTTCCAGTAAGCTCTTCATCTGTCTCTTTCTATCCCTCTTTATCACACACAATAATACAAAATACAGATAATGTATTTATTTTCAGCAGTATACAGATAATATTGTTAACATTTAATAAAATATCGTTAAGTACAAAAGAAAGTGACTAGGATGCGTGCATAACCCACATATATTGTGAACGTTAACTGGAGACAGTGTAGGACTCCAGCAGGATGATAAACAGCGGTCATCTACGTAGGTACTACAATATTCTTCACCTGTGAAACAAAAGTCTCTGAAATGTTTAATACCGTCAGTAACTCGGGTTTATTATTTCCCCTTCTTGAACATACCATTTGTCAAGTAAATCTTATAAACCTGTACTTATATTCAGTATACATTTAGTCTTTTTTTTCCTGTGTGTCTTTCTTAACGGCTCTTATTCCTTTAATATTAATTTCCAATTTATGAGGCCTGATCTGGGACCGAGCCGCGGTGGCCATGGTCGACGAAACGAGTTACAAAAAACAAATATATTAAATCTTTTGTATGGGTTTTGTCAGTTTAAAGACAGTAGTGGTGCTCACATAGAGTTCGTGTGTTATTATTATTATTTCTTCTGAAAGTAGTTTGACAAAAGGAATAGCCCAAAATGTACTTACAGATTACTTCGATCCATTTTTGTCAAAAAAGGTCAACATAGGCGAATTTCATGAATAAATTTTAGTCATAGAGTCCTTCCAATACGTGGCTGCCGTCTTGGAAAGGTCGATCGGGAGACCTTTCTGAAAATCCACCAGGACACCGTAGCAGTTTTATTTGATTACGGCTTTGTTGAAAGATTTTATTTTTTTTATCAACAAAATTGTGTACATCAGCAGTGTGCTCCTATAATACTTTCTCTGTGATAGACATATAGTGGGAACAAAAGAGAGCTATGTTACTTTACCATATTCAGTCACGCAGGAAGGGCCATAATCATCAGGCAGTGAGTTCTGCCAGCTTGACTTGGAAGAATACAGTAAGAAGAATGCGGAGGGGAGGTTTCTAGACGTACTTAGTATGCGGTTATATGGCTTGGAATATACACATATAGGCCTTGAAAGTTGCTGGTAAATGCTCCTAAAGTGAGTATGGATTATATTATTGCAGGTTATTTATATATATATATATATATAACAAACAGAGGAAGACGTTGATTTTGGTTATAAAAACGGGAGACTGAAGATGTTTACCTGGAGTTTACCTGGAGAGAGTTCCGGGGGTCAACGCCCCCGCGGCCCGGTCTGTGACCAGGCCTCCTGGTGGATCAGAGCCTGATCAACCAGGCTGTTGCTGCTGGCTGCACGCAAACTAACGTACGAGCCACAGCCCGGCTGATCAGGAACATTTTAGTAATGTTTTAGTTAGGTTTCAAGATGGAAATATAAGGCGGATAAAATGAATTTTAAGGATGAAATTAGATCACATGGAATATACAAGGCATTCACTTTAGTCTAGTTATATAAAAAATCGTATTGTTTTAACTTAGGTTTAAGTTACTTGTTTGTCCAATCTATCTGTTTGAGAGTTGTTTACACTTCAGCGGAGTTTTTATCAACACTTTTTAAATTGCGTTTTTATGTTGAGCATGTTGATGTGCGAGATATGAGGAGGTCTCATTGTAAGATGATGTCGTCGGACATCTACCGTGGGGGTCTGTGTTAAAATAGTCGTTTTTACCGTTTTGTGGAAGTTTTGTCAAAAAGCTCTTTGAGGTACTGGAGGTTAGAAGCTATTTCATAAATTTTATTGATCTCGATGTCAAATAATTCGTGGCTGCAAACATAACATCTAGGATCAATCATCTGAAGGATTACACCAGTATGTACTTTGTTCTCTGGATCGAACCTGATTACTTCCTTCAGGTGCTGTATGACCCGCTACGGGTTATACAGCTCCTGAATATAATGATAATAATAATAATAATATGTACATTGTACATGGTTACAGCAATGAAATTGTGACCCTGAATATGGTTACAGCTATAAATGTAACAGTGTAACTCGGAATATGGTTACAGCTATAAATGTAACAGTGTAACTCGGAATATGGTTACAGCTATAAATGTAACAGTGTAACTCTGAATATGGTTACAGCTATAAATGTAACAGTGTAACTCTGAATATGGTTACAGCTATAAATGTAACAGAGTAACTCGGAATATGGTTACAGCTATAAATGTAACAGTGTAACTCTGAATATGGTTACAACAGTGTTGCCTTGAATAATTTGTGGGGTTGCGCACTGGTGTCAGGGACATATTGAGTATTGAATAACTGTCACTGGAACCTGTGTGCAACGTGGAAATATAGAGAAGGAGGGAAGACAGAAGGAATGGGGAGGATTAGGGGTAAGAAAGAAGGGAGAGAGAGGAATAGAAGGGAGAGGGGGTAAGAAAATGGAAGAGTATGGAATATAGGAGTGAGGAAGACTGAGTGTGTAGGTAGGTAGGCAGGTAGGTCGAGGCAGAACAAAGAGCCTTGTGTACTGGCTGTGAAGATGCAGCTACTAATTAGTAAGTACTTGAGAATACTATAACTTATTAATAGCATTGTTCCTCATATGTGTCTCAAGCAGAATGTACTGTTTACAGCGAACAGTG